GGAAAATGTAGTTTTAATGTTGAAAAACCCTTTGATTGATCCTATCGACATCGAGATGTATGTCCATGAAAAAAAAAAAAGATTTCAAGTCTCATAAATAGTATATTTTACAATATATTTTCTACATTGTTCATTTTCATGATTTTCATATGTTTATAGATCTATTTGATTTTAACCTTTTTTGAAATTTAAAATTTTATAATTAAATATAAAAATAGATTTTGAGATAAACCTAATAACATTTTTTATCAAAAATATATACCATGATAAAATTTGAAGATGCACTTTACCTCTACAGCTACGGATGCATCTACATGCCAACTACACCATAAAAAAAAAAAGATGATGGGTATAGTTGAAGCTCTTTGTGAACAAAGCCTTAACTATGAAAAAAGAGCTGAGGTCGCGGCCGTAGCATCCCCACATCCTAATCACTGTATTGTGGTTTTTGTGCTCATCACTAACACCACCCTACTAACATTTTCAAAAAGCTAACTCCTAATCTACTTGAAAAAATAAGCAGAGATATGTCTACCCCACTGAATTACCCAAAAAGAAAAAAAAAAAATCTTTAAATATTAGAAAACTAAGAGGAAAGTTGAGAATGTGGGTTACCGTAATTCTCCACCATTTTGATGAAATAAGGAAATATCCGGGGAACAATCCTATGAGAAAGATCCATAGGCTTGGAAATGGCTTCTTCAAAAAGTCTATTGTTCTCCTTTAGGTCCCCAAACAGGGGCTTGTAAGGGTGACCCCTAACCCCTTGCTTTTCCAAGTACTTTTGGAGGGTTGTAGGCCTCCACCATAGGGCATACCCTATTTTGAGAGCCACCCATGACACCAAAAGGGCAACACTAATTTGAAAACACAGTAGTAGCTTAGCACTCACTTCCATCTGCATATAGCTTTGTTTTTTATTTTGAATTTTGCTTGCTTCACTCAAATAAGGAAGAAGAAGTATTTATAGACATCGAGTGCCGTACGAGCCTATAACTCTCTATAACTCTCTCATAGAAAACTTTGTTTAGTCGTTTTGTTTTTCTTAAGTGCAAAATAATCCAAAAATAAGAAGAAAGTAAAAAAGGAAGGCTATTAAATTTAAAAAAATTCCGTAGATCCCGATAGGTTGGGTTGGGGTCCAAAACCTCGACTTGAACACTATTTGGGTTTTGGTTGGGTCCAGCCGAACCCGACCTGAATCCATAATCGGTTGAAGATAAAATACTTTACTTTAAACTCTATTCGTTTAGGTGTATTAAAGATCGTATACAATAAGAGCTTGTAGTCATCTTTAGCTATTAAATGACAAATTAAATGGTTTGAAATCTAATGATGGGTGATTGTGACCTTATTGCCAATAATATGGATATATGATGGTAAAAAAAAGGACAAAAAAAAAAAAACATAGCTCATATTTTCCAGGTGGCAATGGACCTGATCAGACTTGAGACTCAATGGGTACATGTATGGGTCCAATTTTTGGCCCCGAAAGATTGGGTCTAGGTCCAAAACCTAAACGGAATACTATGCGGTATGGATCCCGCCGTTGCCACCCCTACTTTTAAGAGCGTTTAGAGAATTATAAACTATAGTCCATTGGACCATAGTATATCTACCGTTTGTTTTTCCTACTGGACTCGTTGTCTTGTCCGTTTTGTGCACCATCCATTAAACAGCCTTTCCTATTTGTTACTTTCCAATTATGGGGTGTAGGACTAAATGCTTTCAATTCTTCTATTATTTTAATATTAGGAGTGGGCATTTATTTCATGACACCTTTGTGTAGGTCTCTTTTTTTCAATGCCTTGGGCATCAAGCACTTGGACCGAATCGGTGCTTTTATTTTGTCTAAAAACAAATTGCTTCCTTGCCCCCCAAGAATCGATTGTCCACTTCAAACGTAGCACTGGGCGAGAGTGTCTTGGAACCCCCACCCTAATATTTTAATTTTGTTGGCCTTCTAAAATATATTTTAAAGGAAAGTATAAAAATTTTCAAAAAAACTATTTTAATTCTAACCCAACAATATTACGGCTAAACGACAAGATTACCACGATAAGCTAATCTCAACCCATCTTAATCAAATGAAAGAATAACAGAAAGAATGAAAATCATAAAGAAAGAATATAAAGTAAGATAAAAGAAGAAGAAGAGAATAGAAAGAAGAAGAGAAAAGAAAAAAATGAGGAGAAGAGAGAAGAACACAGACAGCGCTAGGCGTAGCCAGCTGTATTAGGCAAAGACGAGGAAGAGGACACAGTCGGCGTTGAGCGCCACCGGCTGTGGTGGACAGAGATGAGGAAGAGGATACAATCGGCGTTGAGCGTTGCCGGCTGTGTTAGATAAAGAAGACAGAGAGAATATAGTCGACGCTGAGCTTCACCGGCTGCGTTAGACAAAGAAGAGGGAGAATATGCAGTCGGCGTTGAGCTTCGCCAACTATGCTAGACAGAGAAAAGAGAGAAGATGCAATCGACGCTGAGCTTCACTGACTATGCTAGACAGAGAAGAGAGAGAAAACACAGCCGGCACTGAGCTTCATTGACTGTGCGAGACAGTGGAGAGAAAGAGGACATAGTCAGTGCTGCACTTCGCCGGCTGTATTAAAAGAAGGGAATAGAGGATGGGACCTAGATGGCGCTGAGCATCGCCGACCGTGTTAGGAAAAGAAGAGAGAGAAAGAGAGATAGAGATAAGAAAAAGAGAGAAAAAGAGAGATAGGGACTAGAAGAAGAGAGAGAAAGAGAGAGGGATGAGAAGAAGAGAGAGAAAGAGAGATAGGATGAGAAAAGCGGGGAGGTGAGAGAAAGAGAAAGAAGAAGAGAGAGAAAGAGGGGAGGTGGGAGGAAGAGAAGGAAGAGGAGAGAGAAAGAGGGGAGGTAAGAAGAAGAAAAGGAAGAGGAGAGAGAAAGTTACCTTACCAAAGGGTATCGACCCTTTTCTTCTGTCTCATCTCTCTCTCCTAGACGTACCCACAAATTCAAGAAGAAATTGAAACTTTAAAGATGCTTCTGTGAAATGAACCGAATGTCCTTTACAATTTGGCTTTGCATGTTTATATAGAATTGGGCCCAAACATGGGTGGATGCTTAAAAACTACCTAAAATTGAATATAATTACAATTTAATTGAATTAAAAGAAATTCTAAAAATGAGTGCACAAGACTGTTTTGTCTTTGCCTAACACTATGTGGAATTCTAGAACAGTCATTGTTGCTGCCCGAGAACTTGTGTGATCTTTCATGACTGATCCGGGGTTGTTCCGATACCTATTTGATCGAAAGATGATTGTTTTCATGTAGGGCTCGAAATGGTGATCGTTTTGATACCAACTTTGAGCCATGAATCATGTTTTTTAGCCATGATCATGAGACTTGAAATTTGCTTAAATCTTCAAAACTTTGGATCGATAAAGTGCTCGTTCCTTGATGTCTTTTTTCATTTTCTTCGCTGAATCACACTGAGCATGCCGTCCCGATCACATTGCAACAAATGCAACTTGATTTCGTGTCCAAATGAAGATTTTGTCGTCTTGAATTTTGGGCTAGAATCATAAAAGATGGCCGGAATTTACAGCAGCTTCGACGCCTTCATGTGTGAAATCCAACCGTTCGTCATACTTGAGATTCAGACGAGAGGTAGTCACAGACCTTACGCACATAATGTAATTCGTTTCGTGTCGATCGGGTACATGAGTACCATGATTTCGTTGCCTGAGTGAGGCATGTTGCTGCTGAAGTTTTTATAATTTTCTTCACGGATCAGCAACTTCTTTCTATTTTGTCTCCTTGCTCGGGCATAGTCACGTGGCGTACTATATATCAAAATGCTCGTCTGACAAAACGAACACGCTCACCAAATTTGAGCACGATCTGATTCTGTTCAAGTGAGATATGGGCCCTGAAAGTCACTGCCCGTGATTGTAAAAATTACCACTTTAATCATGTTTTGGTGCAAGGTGGCCACACGGGGATAGTGTGCGGCCTACCCCTTTTCGATATTTTACTCATAACTCTTCGGTATTTTACGGGGTTCATTTCAAGGTGTTCGAGGCCAATTTTTCCAAAATTGTTTCTTTGTGTTCGCTGCATTAAACATGTCTGATCACGATGAAACTTGGCAGGTGGATTTTTAGAGTGCTGATGAAGATCTTGACCAGCTTTGGAGCAATTCTGAGACTGTCGAGATTTCATTGTTTTGTAGGCTTTATTGACCTGCTTCCTCTTTATTCCGCATCAGGGACCAAGGCGTTGAAAAATGTATTCAAACAGGCATCCCATGTAATAATCAAATTAATTAAAATATTGTATAATTTTTATAAATTCTTAAGGCTCAATTTAAATAATTAAATCAATCTTTTATAAATCTAAATTTGATAAATAAAATATACAGAGATCTAAAAAATTCAAATACCAATTCTAAAAATCATATATCGTTAAAAAAAACATAATTAAATTCATTCTATGGGAAAATGATTCATATGGTCTAAAAATTAAATAAATAAACATTGGGGCACTCCACCTTCAACTGTGGGCTACAGTCGACACTTGTTTTCTCAAACCACAATCCATAGATGGGCTCATTAGTTGGTCACTAAAGTCTCTGATGCGACCACATCTTATATGGCACGTAAGGGTATCTCTTTCACATGCATAAGCTTCGCAATGAAACGTGGTTTGCTTTCTCAAAATGATTTATCCCGAAAGGTGGTTAGCTTTCTCAAAACGACTATCATATATGCATATCGTGCAATCCCTTGGCTCACTCATTCGAGTAGTTCCTCAACTCACTCATTCGGGCACAACATGTCCCCGGCTCACTCATTCGGGTAGTTCCTCAACTCACTCATTCGGGCACAACATGTCCCTCGGCTCACTCATTCGGGTAGTTCCTCAACTCACTCATTCGGGCACAACATGTCCCTCGGCTCACTCATTTGGTATATGTCGTTCAGTCCCTCGGCTCACTCATTCGGGCAGTCCCTCAGCTCACTCATTCGAGCATAACTTGTCCCTCGACTCACTCATTCGGGAACTCTAACCTCATCAATTCGGCTTACTCATTCGAGAACTCCGACCTCATCCATACGGCTCACTCATTCGAGAACTTCGACCTCATCAAGGAATGACTAAAACCCTTATCGGAACTGACTGACTTAGTTCATCCATTCGGCTTATTCATACAGGAACTCCGACCTCATCAAGGGATGACTTATTAAAACTCCTATTAGATAGTTTTCTATCCCCAGATAATTTAAGTTTTTCCTAACCGATGACTTATTAAAACCCTTATTAGATAGTTTTCTATCCCCAGATAAGTATCAGCAACCAACTGGCTTAATTCTATCCCTAGATAATCAGTTCAGTATCAGCACATATAATCAATTCAGTATCAGCAAATATAATCAGTCCAGTATAAGTAAATGTTATTTGCTTAGTATGTTCCATGAAAGACTACACTCCCACTGAATTCATATTCCATTATATTTATCAGACTCTACCAAAGGTAAATAGTCTCATTATTTACAATCCCAAAGTTTTAACCCATTTCATAAGGACTTGCGGCCCCTAGGCCATCCCACATCTTTGATGTGGGATCTTTCTCGGCTTTATCAAATAGGAACTTCTCATTTACGAAACGAAAATTATGGAAACGAAAGTGGTGAATTTCACGCAGATGCTTATGAGAAGGGATTTACCGTGGTTTCCAACAGAGACCATGCACTAAAAACAACATTTCTCCTACATTTAAAGCAACAAATAAGGACTTGCGAACAATGTATTTTGAATAATTTTGAGAGCATATTTCAATTGAAGAGAGGCATTTTTCAAATGAATATAATTTTGAGAGCATATTTCAATTGAAGAGAGGCATTTTTCAAGTGTAAATTAAGAGCAAAAATGACTCTAGAAAGAAAAATTAAATACCACATCATGCAAGTGTAAATTGAGAGCAAAAATGCCTCTAGAAAGAAAAATTAAATACGATACTTTTAGAGATAACTTAAATATGACACGTCTAGAGTAATATAACAATAAATATATATATAAATTAAAATAAATAATTAGTTCTATAAATTAATTTTCATGTTAAGAAAAAAAAAGAGAAATGAGTAGGTAATACCTTTTATCTTCATGAACGCGACTAGTACTGCAGATTATAAGAATACAAAAAAGTAAAATGAAAAATTGAGATAAAGAGATCCATTTATTATAATGAGTTGCATTTTAATCTTCACTTTCACTCTACAATGAATATAATGAACAACAAATACTTAGATATGAAGCTGGTACTTAGTGTTTACATATTTTTGGTAAAATAATGAAAATCCATAATACAATACCCCTACTTTTTGTTTTTTTTTGAAAAGCTAAAAAAATAGATTTTTACAAAATTTTAATAATTGTTTCAAAAAAATTTAAAGTTGATTTGGGCTGATCAGACTGATTCGCCGATCCAGACGGCCGATCCAAACCAGTTTTCAGGATGAACGATCTAGGTCACTAATATGGTTTTAGAAACATTGGTGCTAATTATCATATCCTGACTCAATTATGTTAAAATTTGTTCCCTTTTTATGGTCTCACTTGGCTTTATTACAATGAGTTGTATTTTAATCTTCATTTCCACTCTAAAATAAATATAATGGACAACAAATAACTAGATATGAACCGGTTCTCGACATTTACAAAATTTGGTAAAAACATAAAAACCCATAGTGCAATACCCTGTTCTTTTTCTTTTTTTGAAAAGCTAAAATGTAGATTTTAACCAAATTTTAAGGATTTTTTAAAAATGTTTTAAGGTTGATTTGGGCCGATCCGAATGTTTAGATTTTTCAGTAGGCTTTATTACAATGAGTTGTATTTTAATCTTCACTTTCACTCTAAAATCAATATAATAGACAGCAAATAATTAGATATGAACCGGTTCTGTTTACAATTTTTTTGTAAAAAAATAAAAATTTATAGTGCAATACCCCTATTTTTTTAAACTTTTTTTAAGCTAAAAGATAAATTTTTACAAAATTTTAATGATTTTTTTTAAAATATTTTAAAATTGGTTTGGGCCGATCCGACTGATTTACCGATCCAGACGGCCGATCCAAACGAGTTTTTAGGACCGACGATCTAGGTCGCTAATTTGTTCTTTTAAACATTGGTGCTAATTATCATATCTTGACTTGAATTTTGTTCCCTTTCTAGGGTTTAGATTTCTGACTAGGCTTTAATAAACCTTCTCTTTTGTCTATATCTTGATGACAATTTTGTGAATACTAACTTTGTTGTATTTGGTATTATAGGTTATATAGGCCTGGCCAGGCAAACCGTAACCGAGCTAGCCCTCATGCCTATAAAGCCGGTTCAAGTCCCGCTTGGGCCAGACTAGGCTTAAGAAGCCCTTTGCTTATAGGGCCAATTTCAGCCTCTGGGCTAAAGGGGTCTAGCTGTCGGGCCACATTTTTTAATGCTGCCCCTAGCTCTTTCATGATGACACCGGCCCTCCCCACACGTTGTTAATTTATTCTACTTTTTTTTTGTTGATTGTTAACATGATTAATATTGGGATTGCATAATATGAGACCAATTATCATTGCAACAAGGAGGTCACAATTGTCAACGACCACTAGATTTTAAATTAAATGGTTTCGGGTGCCATAAAGTTTAAAAATTTATTTTTTGAATATTGAACATGCAAAGAGTGATTGTGAGTTCTTAGTGTTAAAAGTAAATGGCCTCTTTTTAAAATAAAATTTCTTAAATTTGGTGACACACCACCGTAAACCATCTAATAGCCATTGTGACCTGCTTGTGATAAAGATAAAAGGTCTCGTGTGGCTTGATTGTGATAAAGATAAAAGGTCTCGTAGTATATAGTACCCATCAAATATTTTTTTGAATTAAGCTCACATGCATTGCATGCCGACATATTTTTTTGAATTAAGCTAAGATGCATTAGCATGTACGACATGGGGGCGAAATAGCAGGCCACTTTCCTCTTTTAGCGGCTTGCTTCAAGGAAAGGAGTAGGAAAAAACAACGCTTTGGACGGAGTCAAAACCATGTGAAACTGGAAGTCGTGTATGTTCCTATCAAAGAATTCATGTCTTGGACGCCACTCCTTATCCAAAGCACATAAAATGATGTTATGTGTGGTCGAGGAAGAACAACTCTCACTGAACAACGAATGGAGGCTGCTTTACTTATCTGTTGTTGTGTTGTTTTCATTTCATGGGTTTTTACTGTGAAAGTAGGGTATGCAATTTGGTGGAGACCAAGAGTTCTTGGAAAGCAGTTGGAGAAGCAAGGGATTAGGGGACCTCCTTACAAGCTCCTGTATGGAAATGTCAAGGAAATCAATAAGCTTAACCAAGAAGCCATTTCCAAGCCCATGGGCCATTCGCATCAGATTGTCCCTAGGATCTTCCCCTTTTTTCTTGAAACGGTTCAAAATTATGGTACCCCACCGCAACAAGCTTTTCTTTCTTCTCTCAATACATCGTTTAAGGCTGCTCTCGTTTTTTTCTTCTCTCTTCTTTTCCTTTTCCTTTTTTTTTTTTTGAAGTGTTTGTGTGGTGAGTTAGTGGATGGTAAAATTGTGCAGGAAAGATATGCGTGACATGGTTTGGGGAGACACCAAGAGTGATAATAATGGACACAGAGCTCATCAAGGACATACTCTCCGACAAGTTTGGTCACTTCGCTAAACCACCTGTAAATCCACTAGTAATACTACTGGCACAGGGCCTTGCGCTTGCGGAAGGGGAGAAATGGGCGAGACAACGAAGGATCATTAATCCAGCTTTTCACATGGAGAAACTCAAGGTTTGTTTTTCACCTCGCTTCCCTTCTTTGCCAATACGAAACATCAACAGTACATCTTTTCTATATAGCCTTTGCAATGCAAACATGGAAAAAGTAATTTTCACCACATCACAAAAATAGTTTTTGAATGGGGATTGTATATAATGAGACGATTTATCTTTTATCCCTAAAGGTCATAATTGCTTATAACCATAAGATGTAGAACTTAATAGCTTTGATGTGTCAAAGTTTGATAAAATTTTTATGTTTCACATCTAATAATTTAAATTAATTTTGACCACCTTGTACCAAAGATAAATAATTTCATTGTATACTTTTCCTTTTGAACCCTCATACACTGAAATTATCAAGAAAAATGTCCCAGGCTCATGTGTCATCTTCCTATGTTTTTAACAGGGTATGCTACCAGAGTTTGCTCGATGTTGCAAGGAGATGGTAGAGAGATGGGAGAAGCTAGTGGGAGAGGACGGTAATTTTGAAATTGATGTCTTACCGGAGTTGCAAAATCTTACCGTGGACGTCATTTCTCGGACTGCATTTGGAAGCAGCTTCGAAGAAGGGAAGCGCATCTTTGAACTTCAACAAGAGCAGGCTGATCTATGCATCCAAGCTGTTCGTATAATTTATATTCCTGGATTCAGGTGTGCGTTAGATTGCTTATTCTTATTCATTCCTAATGCTTATGTATGTAGCCTTATAAGTAGAATCATCTCTCTCTCTCTC